CATTTTTTTGATTTTTCTTTTTCTATTTCTATCACACTTTTTTATTTTCTTATATGCATTCACTCTTCACTCCATTAAACCATTTCTTTTACATGTTTATAGAGCGGTTTAATGTTCTTGTTTTTTTGTTTTTATTTTTTCTGAAATTTTATTTTTCATTGTTTGTTATTTTTTCTCTTATTTTTATTCTATTTATTTTTATATACATATTATTTTTTATGAGATTGTACTAAAATGTCAAATTCAATATGTCAAAATCATATGGAAAAAAAGTACTGTTAGAGCGCTATATTCAATAAAATTAATTAAAATTTACTGTGTACAGAGCATTCTTGTGGTCAATGTTAAAAATTTAAGAGTTTTATTTGGATGAATTTTTGTATAACAGTTTTAAAGTGGAGAAAATTAAGGGGAAATATAATGAAAATTCATCGTTGTTGAGTTTTTTTTACAATATTTTGACAATTCAGAATTTTTACGTTATTCATTTGAATTTTAAAATGACAGTGTATTTTGAAATGGTAGTTAATTTTAAAATGAAAGTTAAGGATTTTTTAATTGTTAAAGAGAATTACGAGTGTTTATTGTTTCTAAATAATTTGTATAAAAATTATTTAAAAAATATAAACTCTATATTTTTAATTTTAAAAATAATATTAATATTTTTCAATGTTAAGCTTTCAACATTATCTTGTTTAATAAGAACACGCACATTATAGATTTTCTACACACCCGAACCGTTATAAATATAATGTACTATTTATTTCTCTTACCATGTCAAATGAGATCATATCTCGATTTAATTTATATTAAATTTTATATTTTACAGTAAATTATAAGAAGTATTTATTAAAATAGCTAAAATATGCTCAAAAATCTTAGTATTAGTAAATATACATAAGTATTAAGACTTTTAAGTCAACTTTTCAATTGTTTAATTTACATTTCAGCCACTAAAATCATTAAAAAATTATTTTTAGATTTTTTCAAAGTGTCTTGATATAAAAAATATATCAATTTCCGTCCTTTAAAATCTCCTTCTTAAGATGTTTACAAAACTGTTTTTAGCCATAAAAAAAATTCTTGTAGGTGCGGCTCTTAATATTTTCAATATTCAATTATGATTCGATTTGATTCTGGTCATGGACAAGATTTTAAATTTAGTAGGAAACCTCAAGCAAAATTACATTTTGGAATAAATCATTTTGACGATTTTGAAAATCCAATTGAGATTTTGAAAATCTAATTACTATTCGTATTTCGAAAAAAGTGAAAAAGAGTAAACTTGGTCTATTTTTGAAATCTTTTCAAAATTTGAATCAATCCCAACTGTAAATCGTTACATTTAATAATCATTGTGTCCAATAATATTAAAATATAGAATAAAATTCATTTAAAAATTTTCTAATATTCTACAATAATTGATTTACAAACAAAATTTTTCATCCCCTAAAATATTCACTTGTATAGAGACAAAACAACTAAAATTATAAATAAATAATCAGGATTTCTAAATAAATAATCAGGTGTTCTATAAATATATCTTCTATAAAAAAAATAGACCTAAATAATATTATATACATTTACATATACATATACGGATCTATACACAATGCACAGCACATTTTAGCACCTCATCAATTTAAATATTGATTATACACACACAATATTTTCACAATCACCGCGTTTTTATACACTTCTCGCATATCAAATCTAAAAAGTATACAGACGTCTAATATAGGATTATGAACAAATAAAACTAAAGTATAATTTCAATCAAAACTAATATACATTCACACATATAACACAATAAATTTACATTAATGTAAGTAATGGGTAATAATAAGTATATCGCATTATCACGTAATCAGAGGAAAAGACACTATATACACGTTATAAATTCAGGGTTAAAGGAAAGATTGGTTACAAAACAAATTTACTTAGAATGCCGTATGTGCCACCTTTTTTATAAAAGTTAACTACTGCACAATATACAAATTATGGACAGGTGATAATATTTACAATATCATATATATTTACCTCTTGTATTTTAATAATAAGAGGATATCTAACAACAAAATAAAAAGGACAATGCGTGTCTGAATTCAATATAAACATAAAAAATTTTTATACTTATTATATTGGGGAAGGATAATTATGTCAGTAAATAACTACTTTTGTATTTGATATACTTACAAATTAAAAGTAAACGTAGTAATATTGAATATATTTTGAATTTGGTATTGTACAAATGCATTTAAAAAGGGGTAAAACTCAAAGTATTGCATTCAAGAAATCATAAAAAATGTGTAATTTGTTTTTAGAAATCGGAAATGAACGAAAGAGAAAAAAATTCAAAAGTCATGAATCATGATAAATCATTAAAGTGTAATTAAAGTTTCCTTTAAAAGGATACAAAAAAGGATATACAAAATTCTGGAATTCTTGTGGTATTGAAATGTTAGTGCAAGAAATGCATAAAATAACTCTTTTACTTTATGAGAAATAACTTTTAAAAGTTAATGTTGAAAGGGTTAAATAGATGTATAATACTGTGCATAATTTGGAATACCTTTAATAGGCAACAAATTGGCCCTTACTAATTATGTTCATGAGTTTGACTTTTGATTAAATGCAACTGTTGTTTTAAATATTTCAAAGTGAATTTTACTTTTTCAAATAGTATGCAATTGTGCTAAGGGTAGCAGCAACTTGTTTGTTTTACCATTTAGAGCAAAAATTTCTAAATAGAAATTTTTTTCACTTGAATTTTGTTCAAGCACATTGTTATAAATTTGATTTTTAAGAATAAGTTGAAAGAAGAAATACAAGAATGCTAAAGACAAGATATACAAAACTTTTAATAATTTTTAAAGTTCAAAATTCAAAGCAACTGTAGTTTGCATACAATTACATAAATATGAATCTTGTTGAAAATTTAATGACTATGAAATTTATCAAATTTTTATCGTTCAACAATTATCATACATATATCAAAACATTCTATCCAATAGTTCAAAGAAATTGAGCCAGAAATATAATAAAAAAAAAAAGTTGAGTACAAATCGAATCCTTGCTGTCTCATAGGATAGATACTTTATTCTTAGTTATGGCCTTCTTTTTCCAAAACATGTTGACATTCTTAAATTTTTTCTACAAAAAAAATAAATAATATAAGTATTTTCTTTAAGAATTGTATTTTATTAAAATATTAGAATTTTAAAAAAACTACAAAATTATTTCAAATTTATGGTCAAATTAAAGATTCCACAATTCAAACTTTAAAGAGAATCGCATTCTCACTGATTCGTATTTTAGTGTCATTAAGAAACAGTCAAAATAACATATTAAATGTGAATTACAATCAAAATCTCGAACATTTCTATATTAACAAGCTCTAAAACTTCTATTATAAACCGTATTGGAATCAAATCTGAAAAATTAAGTTCAGAAAGGATTTTCGATTGTTATCATGAAATAAAACCTATCACATATTTTTGAATGTTTCGATAAATTAAAGTGATTAAAAATTTCTTAGATAATACTTTAGTGTAACCCACCCTGACCACTCTCTACAGGCTTTGAATGGAAGCATCAAATGAAAATTACTTTCCCAACAATTTTACACTTAAGCAGTAATCTTAATATATTAAAATAATTATCAAAGTTTAAAACTTTACTCAGTTACTTAAATTTTGCTATGATGCTATTGGATCCATCCGTATTATTTATACCTTTACAACAAAAACTAATAGAAATTTTCTTATAAAAACTTTTTAATACTTATATAAAATTTTAATTCATTTCTTTAACCAAAGTTACTCTGAAATAATTTTCGAACGTAAGAGTAATAATCGATTTATTGATATTGCAATTAAGGAAATTTCTATGATTTTAATATCAACTTGTTAATAACCTCACTTCATCATCGCGCATAATAAACTTTCAATAACTTCAAATAAAGAATTAAAAGAAAATTTTTAAGAAATGCTTCTTAAAATTCTTCCAAGAAAACTTTATATCAGTAATTAATATAGCTAAATACCGTGATAGTAACTCGCTGAACAACCATTATGTACATAAGATTTAAGAATCATTATTCATGATTATTTACAAAATATTTATCAAAGGAACTTAAGGAAAATTTCAAAACGGAAATTAATCATGCATTTCATCTTCTCTTTATCCCCATCCACAAATATACGCACACATACATTTATAACAATAATGGTAATATTTTATAAAAGTATGTTTTTTTTTTTAGTATAACACAAGAATAATAGTTAATTTAAGAAGTAATGAGCCATTTAAACAATTTGTCTTGACATTTTATTTACTCAATAAGCACACGATCAATCAATAAAATTTATCACAAAATAATTTACTATATGTGCGGTAATATTATGCTCCCTTACAAATTATATACGTTTCTTATAACATAATATAAAAATCTTTAACAGACCCACCGCAATGAATTTTAAAGTAGGTACAGTATGTGTAAAGTAAATGTATTGTTGCATAACAGTATTAATAATATAAATTATTACTGTTACCATTCAATAAAATAACTTTTTAAATTATAATTTGTTAAAATGTCAATATAATGACAAATAAACTGTCATTAAAAATATTTGAAATGTAATAAATTTCTATAGATTTCTAAGAAATAGGGAATTTTGTTCATTCGTGGAAAATTATTTACTATACAGCTGTTATACTATATAATTTATTTTTAGGAATAAAATTTAAGTGAATAGCATGACTATATAAAATTAAGAGAGAATGACGTTAATGATTGGCTACCAAAATTATTACTATTTAACCAACCGAAATTTTAGTTCAGTTAAAAAATTTTACTAAATTTTTCATTACAATTTTAATGTTTCTCTATAGGAATATCAATGAGAGTTCTGGATTTTCTGGATATGTGCACATGTAAATGGGAAAGCAAAAATAAACATTAAAACCGAAATGTTGTAGAAATGAGGTGCATCTAGCTTAAACGACTGTAACATACCGAGTAAACAAAATTAAGCTAAAAGTGAAAATCGACTAGATAAGTTAATTTCTATCTTTCTAAGTATACTCAACTTCTATCTTTTCCTTAACATTTCTAATAAAACTTAATAAAATGATGACACGTTTGGAAAACTTCTAAGATGATATTCATGTGAGTCAAATTTTGACAAAGATTTTTTTGCACTTAATTTATAAACAAAATACAAAACTGCCACGGAACGCTCCAGGAATTTCAGAAATGTCCTTTGTACTTCGGCGAGGCACACAGGGGCACACACAACTTAGAAAACGAAGTTATAGAAATTTCTGTTATGAACTTTGGAAGATCCTCACGCCTGCTCAAAGATTTGTTAAAATTATTTTGGGAATTTTATATTACTAACTTACTATGCAGGTACGTACATAAATTTACTATTTTTGTGTAAAGTTTCAGTTAAATCTTTACGTTTTTTCTAATTCCTAATATTTGTTATTATATTAACCTCTAACGATTATCAAGCTTTAAATATAAAAGAAAGATATAATTAAAAAAGAGACTATAGAAAAATTATTAGGGGATACAAAAGCAGATTAACAATCAACAATAACAGCTACTACGAAATGCATTACTCCAAATAAAGTACGAAAAATACATAGTTTTGCACATAAATCGAACAACTTTATTAGATAATATAAAAAATATTAATCAAACGTATATTAGCGGATCTCAATATTCAAATTCAAGTTAAATTTTAATTCATTTAACAATAAAATCCATAAAAATCAATCGAAAATCTTCTAAATTAATCTTGCAAATATCACAATATCATACAAAGAATACACCATGCTATACAATATTCTTACAATACAATCCTTTCTCTTAACAAGACCTTTTACCTCACCTCCCCCAATATTTCTTTACGAGACTATATGAACTCTTTTACTACAATATTTTATTAGTTAATAATGTCCTTCTATATATACAACAAAAATATTATAATCCTTTTTTTGTGTATACATTGAATAGAGGTGAATAGAATTAAAATAGGAAAAGGCTCAATTAAAAGGATATTTATATTTTCTCATATATGCATGCACTCAATATAACTCTTTCTAACCCTTAATATGTTTGTTTAACTATATAATATATTTTCTTTAAATTTCTAATGAATTTTATTAAGAGTTGATGAGAAACCAAAAAGTTGAATAATAAATAAAAGTAAAAGGGGTAAATTACAAAAATATTTATTATTTAAACTTATGTTTTAAATAAAACATGGACTCATGTTAAAATTAATATACAAATATGTAGATAATGGGTCAGAGTAAATATAAAATAGAAAGTGGGGTTCCATTATTAAGCCATAAAACTGTCAAATTGGCAAATTAATGACTCTCTACATAATATCTACTAAACAACCATGTTAACTCAACAATATCTTATTTATATTGTTGGCTATGCTAATCTAAAACTGCATTCAATAGAAGTTTTTTAGAAAAATTAAACAAATTTTTCCTTTTCTTTTCATTAGAAAATTTTCTAATATTGCAATGGATGTGTGATGAATTAATAGATTTTTAGCCGACGATAAGAAAACGAATGTAATTACGGACAAAAACAAAAACCAGTTTAAAGGAGTAAAAGGATTTCTTATTTAACTTTTGTCTCATTTTATTTTATTATGAAATCAGAAAAAAACTGGAATTGAAATATCATAAATTTTATAATAATAATAGTAATGTTTTCGACAAGGGTCTTTTTTGTTTCTTACAACCTTTTATATTTACAATATTTCGAGAATGGGCGCCCAAATTTATTATGCAGCTTTTATGCTTTTATTCGATAGCATTAATAAATTCTAATGTAAAATAAGAAAAATTTGAACAGAGTCAAAAGTATTTATGATTAAATAATTCTTTCAAATTCTTTGATACTATTAATAAATTTCTTTATCTGAATGTCCTTAATTATGGGGTGAATTATAACATTATAGCCATAGTAATATTATATGAAATATTAAAACGGACAACTTGCAATCTATGAATAAAAATTGTATTAATATTATCACTGATAACTAATAAGTTAAAAGTTATGTACCTATAAAAATGTTATGCTAAGGGAAATAGAAACTTTTGTCATTTTCCCAAATCTTTACCACAAAACAATCGGATTTCATTTAAACAGAAAGGGAAAAAAAAACACCAAAAACGAGGCAATAACATAGAAGCATCTAGAATTCTATAATATATTATTCAAATTCTTAAGTGCCACAGAAAAACTACAAAATCTCAATAATTTCTTAAGAATACCTTCAATTAATTTAGGAAATTCTTTTTGAAACACATTGCGATAAGTTTTTATTTAAAACTTGTGTGCGTATAAGTCTATATAAGTTTCTATTTCAATACGTTTATCCCGAAGATACCCAAATATTTTGGCGCAAAAGGCATTAGGCATTTACACACAACTTAAGGTTAAGGTAACAATGCCCTAAACCTCAATAATATCAATATTTTAAATATTTTCTTGTGAGATAAACTTGGAATCTATAAGCGAAAAATAGCTACTAAAATGGTTAGTTTTGTATTTTTGCTGGATATTTGAGAAAAGTATGAAAGTTTAAGGAAATATTATCACATGTTATTCAAATAAAAAATGATAGTACAAAAGCAGTAATAAATGTTATCGGAACTACCTACAAATATTAATAAAAAGCTTTTAAATTCATATATTTTCACAAAATATTGCAAAAGTTAAAACTGACCACAAAATCCTGACCTAAAGATATTTCCTTTTTATCTAAAGGTCCTAAATTTCATATTGTAAAACTAATTTAAATTTTATTAATTCAATATTTTTAATTACTGCTTTCTCAAAAATAATTGTTTATAGTTATAGCTAAGATGCCAACAAAAACAAAAGGTATACCTAAATTACATGAAATTTTACAAAGGTATTAAATTATTAATCAGCCTAAACATATGCAAAATATTTTTATTTTAAAATAACCATAAACCAAACGATACCGTAATTTTAGAAGAAAAAAATCCAAGTAAAAAAAATTAAGCATTATCCTAAATTTATGCAAATATTTTTATATTGAATTTTTTTTGGAAAAGCAATGTTCTAGAAGTAATGAAAATTATTTTCATAGAAAAATACAGAATTTTGTACTATTATTACAAAAATACTTGGATTTAATGCTAATGAGCTTAATAAATAACATAATATTAAATTCATTATTAATATGAACATACCATATTTTTGGAAATAACAATGTAATGAACCTATAATAGTCCTTTAAACAACTTTTTACACACTTTCGTTTATTTCATTTCTTCATGCAATTATTACTGATTTTCGCTTGTTATTACCTTATCACTTAATCAAAAATAATGTCAACTAAAACCCTATAATTTATAGTTAACAACAATTCTTCTTCAATTTCGTGAACAATTGCATGATTATAATATAATAATTCAGTCTTTTTCAAGAATGAGATGTTTAAAGACCTTAAAGTCCTTTAAGGTTTTAAAATCCTTTAAGACATTAAAGAACTTAAGGGATGTTATCGCAAAATTTAAAATAAGAAAAAAACCTAAAAGTAAAAGAATAAAAAAATTTAAAATTAGTAATTTAAAACGTTTAAAATTCAATTTTAAAAATAAATTAAAAAAAAGGAATAAAATTTCCGATGAACAAAAGGATAATGAAAATCAAGAGCAGAATGAACGTGATTATATAATAAATGAAATGAAATCATTACAACGTAAACCAAAATGGTATCATCCGTTCTTAGATTGTGTAATTGTATTTTGTGATGTAACTGGTATACACGGGGCATGTCATATTACAAATAAATCATTACCTAGAAGTGAGAATATTGCATGGTTTGTTATTGTTCTGACAGCTCTAACAATTAGTTCAATATTATTGTATGTAAGTTGGAAATGGAATGATGAAACACCAACAAAACAACTAATTGATAGTATGCATGCTCCAGTTTGGAGAATACCATTCCCAGCTGTTACAATTTGTAGTAATAATCGAATATCTAAGGAAAAAGTTACAAAATTAGCAAATGAAATGTAAGTACATATATGTGTTAGGGAATAAATTTGTACAGTCAACTGTTTTCAAATTTTTAATTATAATGAATTATTAGTCAGGTTTAATTTATTAAACGTATTTTTTATATAGGCTTCGTATAATTCTTGAATTTTATTAATAAAATAGGAAAAAAAGTACATAAACAATATATACATAAACGCCTATATTTAATCATTAAAAAAAAAATAATTTTCTTTTACAGGAAATTCACCAATTACACTCCTCCCGACTTCTTGAAATTATTTAAGTTAACAATGGGTGTTAAAGGTGGTCTAGCTGAAAATAATGATAAATATTTACTTTTTGATCGTATATTAAGAAGTAATAATCATACATTTTATACATTAATGGATTTATTAACACCAAAATGTACAGATTTAATAAGACGTTGTATGTGGAAAGGTGAAACACGTAAATGTGAGGCGATTTTTCAAGAAATTGAAACATCATCAGGAAAATGTTGTGCATTCAATTATTTTGCAATAAATACAACAACATTTCCACAACGTGTTATATTACGTAATGAAATATTTAAAGTACCACAAAGAGTAACAAGTTGTGGTTCAAAAACTGGTTTAACATTATTAATTGAACCCAAAACAACTGATTATTTTGGAACACATTTTAGTTTTCCAGGTTTAAAAATTTATTTACATGATTCATATGATTTTCCAGATGAAAATTCAATAATAACATTAATACCGGCACGTACAGAAGCTCATGTACAAATAACATCAAAACAAACATTTGCAACAAGTGATGTTAGAGAAATTAAACCAAAAATTCGTAATTGTTTATTTGCTGATGAAAAAAAATTAAATTTTACACAAAAATATTCATTAATTAATTGTTTAGCTGAATGTCGTAGTACATTCATTTATAGTTTATGTAATTGTATACCAGATTCATTACCACGAAATGATTCAATGAGATTATGTCAAATTGCTGATACACCTTGTATATTAAAACATCGTTGTAAGTACAATATTGATTAAATTAGGAATTTTCTTTTATTGGCTATTTTTAAATTAAATTTTAAATTAATTACTGTTTAGCTCGTTATATTTCATCAGCATTACCCAGTTTCATTCTATCAAATAAAACTAATGAAACAAAATCAAATTTAAATGAACATCCTTGTGATTGTCTACCAGATTGCCAAATAAATCAATATTCAGTGCTATCGTATGCAAATTATTTGGATAGAAATTTTTCATATTCATTAATGAATTTATTGTAAGTATTAGAGAGCGAAATGAGTGTACATTAAATAAAGTTGCGTTTTTCTGATCATTTGAATATAAATTGAAATTTAGAATTCTTTTACAATTTATTTATAAAATGTAAAAAATATTATTAAATAATTATTAATTAAATATTAACTTAAGTATAAATTTTCAATTTGGACAATTTGACATTGTTTTATATTCTCTAAATTACTCATAACTATTTTTGAAATACAACCCAAAAATAAGGTGGGCAAAAAAATTGTGTTTTTTTACAAAATCTAATTAATATTTTAGCATTAGAAAACTTAAACTAAATCTCTGTCTCTTTTTAACATTTCTACTTTATATTTACAGCAAAGGAGTTGAAATCACGGATCAAATTTTATTACATGTTTATAAATCTGATATACTTGTAACACGATATAGAACAACAGCTTTTCAAACATGGTTTGAAATTTTAGGTAAAACAAAAAATTTCTTATTATTACCGTAAGATTTAAATGAGAAAAATTTAAAAAACATTCTCCTTACAGCATCATTTGGAGGACTTTTAGGATTTGTAATTGGTTTTAGTATAGTAACTGTTGGTGAATTTATATTTGCAGTAATATTAAGTCCAATTTTGAATAAATTTAATGTTTGAATTGGAAATAACGTATATGTATAACATTAAAAGAATGGAGCGGAAAATTAAGAATCTAAAATTATTTTTTGTATTTTTGGTTTTGCTTGTTGTGTGAAATAGAATTTTCAATTAGATTTATTAATAATTATTCAAATTTTGCTTTTAATTATATTTGAAATTGTATTATTTTGCTTTTAATTATTAAAAGTTTTTGCTAAATAAAATTAAATGCAATATTGTATTCATCGCAGTCACAAAATTTTAATTTTAAGTATGTATAGAATTTACAAATGTTTATTTGACAGTATTTAAATAATGTTGCCGCATAATAAAAGCCTAATCCCTAACTTGAATAGATACCTACCTAAAATTAAAGCAGTATTAAAATAGTGTACAAAAATGATAAATTTTCAGTCACTTTTGCTGCCTGAATCAATAAATATTTAACAGAAAAGTATGTTAAATGAATACAAAACAAAATAATCACTAAATTTTAATTTTTATAACTCATAAAATTTAATATTAAACATATTTTTTATAATACGTTAATTAAAACTACGATTAAGTGACAAAAATTAAATTTCAAACTTAATTTTCGAAATACTAGCCGTCATTAATAATAGAAAATTGTGTAAATATCACCTGCATAAGCGTAAGTTACTTACTTATGTATGTATGTATGTCTAAATGAATAAATATTTGCAAATTTTCCATATTAAATTATACAACAAGTTGTAACGGTAATTCACACAAATTGTGTAACTGAAAACGTATGATCTAAAGAGCAAATATTATTAAAAATAAAAGCAGAAAATAATAAAAAATAAAAAACGCTGTAGTAAAATGAAGTGACCGTTACAGATTGAAAGAGATAGATAGAGAGAGAGATGATAGAGCAAAAACTTCTTCTGACGTCAATTAATTGAAATTGAGATGATTAACGAGATGACTCGGCTTTTATTTGTTGTTTTTTTATTGTCTGCTTTTTACTATTTTGAAGAGGAGAGAAAAAGACATAAAAGTATGACAAACAAACACATACGTTCATTTACTAACACAATAAAATATAAGAATGTTCGGTTTTACTGTTTTCTTATTTTATTTTTTCTTTTTTCTTGCTCCGGTTTCCTTTAACGGAAATATTCAATTAGTCTCCCGCAAAAATAGCAATAATGAAAGTTTTTTAAATTAACTTTCTTGTATAAACAAACAATTATGATGCCAGAATAAAATTTAATATTATTTAAAATTTTAAACAGTTATTCATATTTAATTTAATTATTCATGCAATTACATTTATGTATTGTGTAATTATAAATGACTCTTACTATAGATAGGGAAATAAAAACTCGAAAGTGAAAATTCTTAAAGAAAATTGTAAATGAAATAATGAGGATCTTCAATAGAATTTAACCAACTAAAAAATAGGAATTAAAAAGGCTAGAAGCTATCATTAGAAAATTAAGTTTCGAGTAAATTGGAGTAAAACTTTTGAATTATTCAAAACAATTTTTATGGCAACAATATTTAAAATTACTTTTACCTGTCAAATCAGTATTAAAATAAAATTAATTTCACATGAGCAGTCGGTATGGCAACACTTTTTCAGTTATACACTTTATGTACATACACTTATGTTAATAACAATATTGCTAATCAAAGGAAATTACAAATCAAGAGAACAATCTAGATTATTTTCCTAAAATTTTTGAAATTTTTCAATTACCGGTTGAAAATAATTATTTTATATTTATAATATTACAATAACTATCTTTAAATATGATGCAAATGTTATTAAAAAAACTAGGTACTAACTATAATTTCATTTAATAACTTTTTTTATATTATAAATTTAATGGTAACTTTCAAAACTTAGATTGTGTGTCATTTAAAATTGTAAACGTGTTTTTTTGCACGAAGTATTCATATGAAATCATATGAAATATTTGCAATGGATTATAAGTGATTGACAGACAATTATTAGAATTGGAGTTTAAACATTATGGAAAGGAAAAGTGAAAGACAGTATGTCTAGATTGAAATTGAAATTGTATTAATCTTATGGATAATTGAAATATAATTATAGGAAATTTATTATCAGCGGTTAGCAGATTAATATGACTTATTATTGCAATTTATTGAAAAATTAACAAAAGATTTGGATTCATTTGGAATTTGAATAATAATATATTGAAATCTACACATATAATTTAAATATTATTAATTGCACTAATAAATTTTGTATAGAAAGTAGAATATAGTTTTGTATTTTTCTAGAATAATCTATGTATATATAACAAAGAAATTCAATCGTAAAGAGTTATAAATGGGGACCAAGCATTTTCAAAAAAGGCCAATTGGCTTAGTATTCAGTTATTAATTTAGTAAGTAATTTAAAAGATAATTATTACATCATTGTTATGGTTTGTAACAAATTTTTTAATATTCTATCTTACTCATCATAAAGTACCTATATTATGGCGGTGATAACGAACAGCAATGGGAGATGAAACCAAATTTACCAAAGAATTCATATTTTATTATAAATTTTTCAAACACTTTTTTGGTTCGCACCTTACCCGTAACATTAATAAGTTTTTTAATATTCTTGATTTTGGCCCACATTTTTCGTTGCATTTAATGCGAAAAAAGAACATAAACACATTATGTATTCAAACTTTCTTATTGACATTTTAAAAAACGTGCCAAACATAATCAATCTTAAAAAAGACACTCAAAATTCTTCAACAATGATGTCACGTCAGTGTATTTTATAGAAAATTTCATTATTGTTGCAGATACATCCAAATATCAGTAATATAGAATTCAAATTACGGCTATTGTTATTCATATCACGATTACAATAAATATAAAAAACTTATTGATCTAATGATATTAATTAATTCTAAGAATTTAAAATCTTACGATACATACTTTCAACATGTTTATCATAAATTCCATTCGGCACGTGTTAAAATTTATGAATGAAAACATTTAGTTTTAAAAAACAATAATAAGATTTCGAAAATATTTTCTCATAATACGTTAATCAATAATTAATTAATATTATTGAAATATATCGATTAAATGCGTCAATTGAAAATTCCAAAACACAAAACAAAAATTAACGTTAACGCACTTAAAAATTAACACTAATAAAAACAATATCACAGACCAAGTAAATCCGGAAATTTCATTCCAAATTTTCACACTTCTTACTTTTTTTCTCTCCATCTAAATTTTTTTTATATTTTTCTAGGTAAAAAAAAACGTCAGTGTTATTACCACCATCATAATTAGATTTAGCAATAATAGTGAAAGGTAAAACTTTTCCCACTATTAAAAATGATACCAAATAACTTTGACGTATCTCCTATCTACTTCGCTATACTGGAATATTCAAAAATTTTCGGATTTTTCTTGAATTTAAGTGAAAATTCAAAGAATTATTTAATTTCATCTGAAAAAAAATGGTTGGAGGTTAATTAAAATTTTTCAAAGTAATAAATTTTATGTCATTTGACAATTGTAAATTATAAATGCGCAAGCAAACATGAATAACAAAAATCCGAAGAAACGAACTTAATTTTCTGTCTTAGGTACGCATCAACAATAACCCAAATTTTCAATTTCGTTAAAACACATCAATGAAATAATTTGATAATTGAATTATTTTTTAAACTATTTTGCACCACACTGACAAGTGATTGGAGATTAATTAGCGAAATTATAAACCGGAGGTTGCCATACATTTAGAATATTGTCTAATTTAACAAAATTTTAAGTTATGCTATTTTACACTAGTGTAATTTTAAACTTTTCAAAAAATCAATAAATAACAATTTTGCTGCATCTCTATTTTTGAAAAACGAATACTTTTACTTTTAACTTCCAAACACACTGAAATCAAATTTATATCGATCAAATTTTCTTAAAATACATACATACATGTGAAAATGAAATTATAGGCAATTGAAATTCAAAGTAAACTTAAAAATTCAAAAACTCGACTTAATCAATTTTCGCTACAACAATCCCTAAAATTGTGTGCATGAATTTGTAATTGTAACAGCTAAGCCATAATTATGTGTAAATAAAATTTTTTTTATTATAGCGAACTGGGTGGTTCTAGTGAATTTCTTATTAGGAATATTCAACTTATTTACAACCATTTTGATCTATTATTGATTTTGATTGATAATTCTAAAAATAAAATAAGAATTTAATTCTTAATTTGGAATATAATTAAACTATTATTGATATTAAGGTGCGTATATATGTAGCTCTGGATATTAACATTTTCAATTTATAGCTTCATTTGTCAACGATAATTATTATTTCCTAATTATTACAATACAATTCAATTAAAATACTTTAGAAATAGAAAAATACAATTTTGCTTTTAATATTTTGATAATTTACAATTACACATTACCTTATAAAGGATCCCCTTAAGATTAAATTAATTCTGAGAAAATAAATAAGATTTTGAGAAAGTTAATTAAAATTCCCAAAGTGATTCACTTTTAAATTTTATTTTGACAGTAAAATGTTGTCAAATAAAATGTTACAATTCTTGTCAAAGTCTATTATCGTTGATGTAAAAGTCGTCGTGTAAACACAGGTATTCACAAATCACAATGTGTCACTAAAGAACAATAGCACAACTATGTGAATGCAATTCCCTTATATATTAAGTGTAATACATACAATATGTTTTGAGGGTGAAATTTATAACTATTTCAATATTTATCCGGTTTAAAACTTTTTCTTAGCCCATATTCAAAACCATTATTTCAAAAAGACCATTTGTGCAACTGAAACCTTCAAAACATTTGAAACACAAAATACGAGTACATTGTTGTAGTTGTACTATTTATATAGTACACTGTTTTGCGTTATACGAACGTGCATTGTGCAAAAGTTCCCATTTTAAAAATAATTTAAAAAAAACCAAACATTTTTTAGAATTCTATAAAAATTAATTAATTTTTTTATTTATTTGCTGATTACCTATAAATAGTACAA